GGGGGTGTGTGCAGGAAGCAGCCAATCAATGACTCTCTCTCATCGTTGATGTTTCTCTCCCTCTCCCTTCCTCTCTCTCTGAAATCAATAAAAATATATGTTTTTTAAAAAGGATCAAGTGTGTTTAGGCAATGAACATGTACACTGGGACCTGTGGTCTGAGCTGAGAGGGTCTAACCTGGTGGTCCGGGTGTCCCGCAGAGCTGTAGTGATATATTCCGACATGCGCTTCTCCATCAGTGCTACCCGGATCCATGCCCGGCCCTGGAAAGCATGCTCATCTTTACTTGCAGCCCTGAAGGGACCCATGTGCACACCATTGGGTCTGGACCTCCTGTGGCTCTTCTCCCCAGTACCCGTGGCAGGGGCGAAGACCAAGGAGCAGGTAGCAGCTGCCCTGGCTCAGCCCACTGCAGGCCACTCACCTTGGCTCGAGCTGTGCTGATGTTCTCCATGTTCTCGATGCTGCTCACACAGTTGTTGGGCACTTTGTTGCAGGCCAGCCGGATATAGTCCCAGAAGCCCCGCTGCCCGTCTGAGCTGAACCAGCTCACCGGACCTGCTGGGGCACAGGCTGAGCCAGGGCAGGGAGGGGGCTCAGCAAGATGAGGGAGTTTAGAGAGGGCCCATGTAATGGATCACATGCATGCATAAGTATAAGCAGCCATGCACATACATAGTGCCTACCGCAAACGTGCCACACATGCATATACACAAAGGGCATGTCAGCATATAACTGCATGCTCAGGAGACCCCTTCCCCTCTTCCCAGCTCGGCATGAACTGTGCATGGCCCAGAATTGGGACCAGGGTCAGTGATGGGGTTCAGAAAGCCACAGAGTAGAGTGGCCGGGAACTAAAGGCTGGGGGTTGGGAGGGCTGGGGGTTAGGAGGGCTGGGCAATAAGGGACAGGAACCTGGGCCCACCTTTGAAACGGTGGCTGAGGATCTGCTCTAAGATGGCTGCAAAATTCACAAACTCCTCGGATGAGTCATCGATGGGCTCTGCTGTGTACTTCTCCAGCAGTGTTTTCACAGAGAACCTGTGTGGGGGGTAGGGAGAAGGGGCAGTGGGGTACTGGGTGAGAAGACAGCGTGATGGTGGTGGGGGAAGGGCATCAGGCAAAGAGAGGGACAAAGGGCAGAGGAGAGGTCATGAAGAGCATGGATGTAGTGGGGTGGCAGCGGGAAAGAGGGTGGGAGACAGGTGAGAATATAGTGACCATAGAGGTGCTGTGACATAGGGTGGCAGGTGGGACACTGATTGACAAAGTGGGTGACAGGAAAGGTGACAGAGAAAGGAAGCTTTGGGAACAAGGTATGAGAGGGGATGAAACAATAGATAGCAAGTCCAGGCACCTAGAGCTGGAGGCTGTTCCAGAGCTCCTCCTCCTTTCCCACCCTTCAGAGTTACATTCTCTGTGTATGTGGGTTGGGAGTCGGCTAGGAGTCAGAAGCCAGTTTGTAACCCTGAACAGTCTTCTGCTTTTGCTGGAACAACCTTCAGTCCCTTCCGGGGGGGCAGGGGGGTTTACCTGTGCCAGGGCCTGTGAGTTAGCACCATACATACGGGGTATGGGCATGCATGGTGGCAGGTGAACTCTCAGCACACTGAGGCCCCTCTTCCCCCTGTTCCTTCCCAGCTTGGCCACCCACACACCAGCTGCCCAGAACCAGGAGGTGCAGAGCTGGGCTGGGGGAGGTACAGGGTGTGGGTCTGGCAGACACACTAGGTGGGAGGGAGCATTGGCAGCAGATTTGTGGAAGGGGCCCTGGGGGCCCTGACACCTGGCTTCTCAGAGAGGAAGGGAGCCAAGGGAAGCCAGTGGAGCTGAGGGACTGAGCCCAGCAGCCCCCACCCCTCTCTCCAGTCCTGCTTGACCCGTCAGCTGCCTCTGCAGTCCCTACCCATGTAATCTCCACCTGCCATTGCTGCAGTGGGGTGGGACAGAGCTGAGGGAACAGCTCCCAACATCCCATTATTGCCCTATTGTGGGTGGCATAGCAGATACTGGGGCTGCTTGGAATTGCCCTTTTTTCCCTAAGCTTTTTAATCCCTGTAATGTGCCAAGCACGATACTTTGCATGTATTATCTCATCCATCCCTACAACAGCCCTGGGAAGTGGTTCCTCTTATCACCATCATCCCCATTTCACAGATAAGGTACTGAGGGTCCAAGTGGTTGGCCTGCTCAGAGTCACATCACACAGCTTGTGAGGATTCAAGTAGGTATGTCTGATTCCAAAGCCCTTGTTCTTTCTGCTACATCTTGTGGGCTCCGGGTGGCTGTCAAATTCCCAAGGACCTAAGTAGCCCCTGCCCCCTCTGCTCTCTGTTCTCCACTCTGCAGTCTCCGGCCCTGGGGCACTGGCCTCCCTGGCTCTCAGGCCAAATGCACAGCTGAGTCCACAGGCCTCCTTCCCTTTCCTTTGGATTTAGAGCTGATCTGGCCTGAGATCAGAGCCAGGTCAGTGTTGAGGTTGCACTAGGGGGAGGCAGCCTGGTGGATTCAAGTCCTATTTCCTGTGATACCCATGTGACTTTGCACAAGTAATTTTTTTTAAATCCTCGGGTGAGGATATTTTTCTATTGATTTTTTGGAGAAAGTGGAAGTGAGGGAGGAAGAGGAGAGAGAGAGAAAGAAACATCGATGTGAGAGAGACACATCGATTGGTGGCCTCCTGCACATGCTCAGACCTGGGCTTGGAAATGAGCCTGCAACCTAGGTATGTGCCCTTGGCTGGGAATTGAACCCATGACCCTTTGGTCTGAGGGCCGATGCTCTAACCACTGAACCAAACCCACCAGAGCTGCACAAGTCTTTAATCTCTCAGAGGCCCATTGTCTCAGGTGCAAACAGGAATAATAGTAACTGCCTCATTAAATTTTGGTTCAGATCCCAGGCAGGAGTGGGAGAAGGTGAGTGTGTACAGGCCAGGGGTAGTGAGAAGCTGGGCCATTAATGGGAAGGTTGGGCCTGCCAGAAGGATCCTGTGTTTAGGGCCTTATCTAGGCTTCATTACGCAGCCCCCATACCCCAATGATTTTTTATCTGGGTCAGACCACAGTGGGAGCCTGGGGCTGGTTTTGGCATAGTAGCCGTTTGCCATCTGTCCTCAGGGGTGCTGCAGAGCTGGTCATTGTTCCCCCCAAGGAGCCCCATGGTGTGCTCCCTGTTAGGAGGTGCAGTGGCTGCTGCAGGTTACCATGGAGACAGGGAGGCCAGGGCCCAGGGGAGCCCTCAGCTTGCTAAAGGGACTTGTTCTGGGAGCTGGAGATGAACCATGTGACAGTGATGAGGCAGCAGAGGCCAGAGGGGTTTCTTAGCCTTTGTCAAGCCCCCGATTCCCCCCAAACTCTCTCTCACACAGAAGCTCTAAGCCCACTTTCAGTCCACCAGAACTTCTGCCTCTGCAGCCTAGGCTAAGGGGAGTTCCTCCCCCCCCACACACTCAAGAGGCCCAGCTGTCCTGGAGTCAAGAGAAAGAAGAGGAACCTAGGAGGTCAAAAGAGAGGATAGGGACAGGGCTATTGTGTACCAGGCACTGGGCTAGGCTCCTGCATGGATTATGTCATTACCACTCCTTGGCATGGCTGTTACATCTATAGTGGGGGTGATGAGATATCCAAGGCCTGGAGTGAGTAGGACACTTCACCAAGGTTGCATAGCTAATAACTGATGAAGTAAGAGCTTGAACCTAGGGCCTGCCTCAAGGGCAGAAATCTTTGTTTTACACCACACAGGCAGAGGTTGGGATGTGAGGGTGGAGGCAGTGGCCTGCACTTTGCACTCATCCCTTCTATAACACTTTAGACATTTTTACAGAGGTCTGGTGTGCACAGCAGTGTGCTAGGCACTAGGGATACAGTAGTGTGAGACAGGCAGTGTGGTTGGGTGTGTGCCCAGGAACCTGGAAGGAGCTATAGGACACAGTAGACAGGGCATCAGGTGGGCACTGATTCCTGTATACAGGCAGGTGGAGCTGCCAAAGGGAAACAGCTGAGATGTGCTGGGAGCTCACTGACCTCAGAAATGGCATGGGGGGAGGGGGAGATTGCAGGTGGAGAAGGCAGCTGGCATGGGGATCCTAGAGGGAGAGATGAATGTAGGTGGAGGCTGAGGTAGAGAGGCTGAGCAAATGGCCATTCCTGGCTTCGGGGCAGGGCAGGGAGAGTGAGTCTCTGCAGGGCTGAAGTGAGACGGTTCACTTTGTGGGCCCCAAGAAAGCTGGGGAATCTTCTCAACACTGCGACAGCCCCACCCTCAGGGATCAATGGGCCTGCTCTCCCAATCTCCTCCCCTTGAACCAAGGAGACCCAGGTTTCTGCAGCCAGGCCCTACGGCAGGGGCAGTGCCCCTCACCCTACACTGGATGAATTCTAGGGTCTTTGCCCACATGCCCAGTTGACTCTGCCACAGGTCGCAGCTGCCCGGAGAAGGAAGGCACCATCCCTGCTTCAGGATTTGAACACTGCAAAAGCTCCCAGAAAAGCCCCACTCCAGAGAGGCCAGGCTGTTGGGTAAGAGTGAGGGTATGCTTGGAGGGTGGCCATCCCCCTACCTCATCAGTTCTCCTGTCCCCAGCAAGGGAGCCAACCATCACCACCCCTCCCCCTCACGCACAATGTCACTTCCTGGTTCCCACAGGAAGCTGCAGTACCAATTAAACACCCCTCACCCCCCAGGCCTCAGGCTGAGCATAGGCCTGGCTTGGCCTAGAAGGGTAGGAACCAGACCTCCATCCCCCCTGCCCGGTCTGGGCCTCAGAGCTCCTCTTAGCCCCGTGCCACCTCCCTTTTCTCTGCGGCTGCTGTGCGAGCTCACCCAGGTCCCCAAAGCTGGGCCCGACGCCTCTCCCGACCACCCCACCCCC